TAGGAAATTGTCCCTTCTGAAATGTCTTGCTGTGTGTGTCAGTCTCAGCCAGTCCCCCCCCCATCCCACAACAACTCTTCAGCTTCGAAGTCAGTCACACACTCAGCCTCTGTGCTGCGAGGGGCCTCACAGGCTGGGACACACTGGAATATTCACAGCCCAGTGGCAGCAGAGGCAGTCCTAGGAGTGGCCCAGCACACAAGGGACCCTTCGGGAATGAAGCAGCCTTTCAGAGCCAGAGGGGCTGTAGCCTCCCCCTCTCCTTAAATAGCCTGCCTTCCACTGCAGCTGCAAGGAGCTTGCCACCTCGGTCTTCCCGCCCTCCACCTGCACCGGCCTCGAGAGGTAAGGGCCAGGGCGGGGCAGGCAGGGTGCTCAGGGACCAAGCAGAGGAGGCTTTACGCAGGGCAGGGGTGGAGTGTGCCTGGCCCCGAGATGCATCTCTGTGACCCTGATAGGAAGACAGCAGGGTCTGAATCAGAGCAGCCCACAGGACAGGGTCCCTGTCCTATGTGATGGGCTCAGACAGTGCTCGCCTCAGACCCACAGCTGCAGCGAGCCAGCACCAGCCTCCTCACCACAGGGCTGCCGCACAGCATGAGCCAGATGACGGGCGCGGGGAGCGGTGCTAGGCTGCCCATCTGCCCCAGGACACCACTGAGGCCGCCTACTACGGCCACATCCACCCAGTTGCTCACTTACCCACAGCCGTGCCGCCCTGCCGGCACTGCCCAGGCTGCACTCCAAGCACCCTCAGCCTCCCCCTTTGGGCAGAGTGAGCCGGTGCAGAGCAGTACAGGCCAGGCTCATGTTTCAGTGGAATGCACGGAGTGAAATGGGCCGGTTTCAGACCATCCTGCACAAATCAGTATCAAACTCCTAAAATGGAGAGGGACAGAAAAACTGAAACCAGAAACGGGCCTGAAAGCACTTTGAAATCAAGTCTCTATCTAGAGAGCGTGCTGCATGCAGCCCTCAGCAGGAGTGGGAGGCCGAGGGCAGGGGCCCGGGGGCAGAAAGCCAGGTGCCATAGGCCCACCCAGGGCCGGGCCGGGCCGTGCAACCTGTGGGGTCATGCAGGGCTCCACACTCGGATTAGCTCTGCTATCACTATCTTAAAAGTCCTACTTTTTTAAAAAAAATGTATTTTTATTAATTTGAGAGAGAGAGGGAGAGGCAGAAACACTGATGAGAGACATTGATCAGCTGCCTCCTGCAGGCCCCCTACTGGGGATCGAGCCCACAACCCCAGCATGTGCTGATCCGGGAATTGAACCAGTGACCTCTTGGTTCATGGGCTGATGCTCAACCACTGAGCCACTCTGGCTGGGCAAACTCCTACTTTTTGAACAAGGGTCCTGCATTTTCATTTTGGGTTGGGCCCCCCCAAATTTTGTCACTGGTTCTGGGGCCAGGCTCCAAGCAGGAGGCACTGAGCCAGGGAGACAGCCTGAGTGCAAGTTCTGAGACCCAGCCACACTCCAAACTCTGGCAACAAGGGCCTGTCCATCCCTTCCCCACAAGTAAGGCCATGTCCTGGGATGTGCTGGGTGTCCCTGCTGAGTCTGACTTCCAACTCCTAGGCCACTACCCCTGGCCAGGTGACCTTGGGCAAGTTCGCTGATTCAGAGCTTTGATTTCCTCATCTGCAAAATAGGGTCATTGATGCCTGCCTCTTAGGACTCGTATGAGCAAGCACAGGCACACCACCTGTGCCAGGCAGAACAGCCTGCATGTAGGGGCCAGGTGACCACTGCAAGTGGAGAAGATCCAGGCATGGAGGGGAGGGTGCCCAGCTCTACCCCTCTGCTGCCCCTTCTTCATCCCTGGCTTCCAACAGGACCCCTCACTCCTTGGCTGCAGCCCCTCTCCCAGCCTCCAGGCCTTCCCTCTCAGGTCACGCACATGAGGAAACAGCAGGAAAATCATCTCTGAATTTCAGGTATCCCAAAATGCTCTGGGGCCAGAGGAGATAATTTGGGGAGGGGAACATCCCCGGATCCCTTCAAAAATTAAAAAATGTGCTATAATTAGATATTCACAGCCCTCCCCCTTTACTTGAGGACATCAACTGGCCAGCCTCGCTCTGCCACTTACTCACATTGCCCCTGGCTCCCACCACTCAGCCAGTGGGCCCTCACCTCTCCACATGGGGCAGGAGCACCATTAGAAAAGCCAGGCTGACAGCCAGCACACCAGGATCTGGACCACCTTCCCTGCTCCCTCTATAGCAGGAGGTCATGCCAGGCCCTCCCCACACACCTGTTTCTTCATTCGTGCCTAAGGGTGTCACCCAGCTCCCTCCCCCTCAAGGGGCTGCTGCGCTAACAGAGCCCATCACCATGCCCCTGAAGCACGGCTACTCTTCATGCCAGCCCGTCAGACGTATTACCACAGTCATTGAAAGGACAGGAAACAGGCTGGGAGAAACCTGTGGAGGACATGCTCCGGGTGCCCCTGCTCAGCACAGAGCCAGGCTCAGCCACAAGAACCACCCTGCCACCCGTCACCCTGCCCAGCTGCAGCCTGGGCTTTTCCCCCCGCTGCTGGAATGCTGCTTCTCTCCCGTGAACAGCCCCTCCTGCCCCTCAGCAGTCCAGACACACAGGCCAGGAGACCAGCTTCCAGGGGAGCCCAGAAGCTGCGCTGCAGGTGAGAGTCCCCCAGGCTGAGGCCTGTTAGCAACCAACCCCAGGGAATGAGCAGCAGGGCCGATGCCTCCCTGATTCCAGCTCGATGTGAGGGGTCCCTGTCTCTTGCCCTCTCCAGCCTGCACCTCCCACCCCCAGGCCTGGTGAAACAGTCAGTGTGCTTGGGATCTACCCTCTTCTCTTTGGATCTCTTGAGTAGACCAAAATCAAAACAGGTGCATGTTACCCTGTCTGTTGGGAGAGAGAGACCCATCCAGAGCTAGGTTCACCATTTGTAAACGGCTGTTGCCCAGGCTGGCAGGGCTCTGAGCTGGCCTCTCTGGTGTGGGGAACGCAGGCAAGTAAACCTGGCAAACATCAACCTGGCCCCAACGTCTCTGGGGTTGCGGATCTAGAAAGCCCTGGCCGTTCTCTTCTGTGGCTGACATGGTCCTCTCCCCTGGGAAAGAACCTGCTCCAATTGCTAAACTCCTCTGTGTGATAACAGACCCTGCTGCCCGAGGCCTGAGTTCAGGGCTTTCTTCACCCATTAGGACGTCCGAAACAGAGTTAGTTGCTGAGTCCAAAAAGCAGGACAGACCCGGGGACCCATGCCTACGTGGCCTTCAGGTGCCAGTGGACAGAGCAGGAGTCTGGCCTCCTGGGACACTGCCCCTCACTGCATTTCTGGCAGCCTCCTCTGTGGCAGGAGCAGGGGAGCTGCAGTCAGGGACTGGCAGGAGAGAAGGCAAAGCGGCAGTCCTCATTCTGCCACTGAGGGAAGTGCCTGTCAGGGAGGGTCCAGGGACTGGGTGAGCAGGATTTACCTGGCACAGCCAAAGCTAGAGAGGAGCTGGCAGGGCTCTGCATTCGAGGCTCTTGGGACTAGGTAACCCACCTCCTGCCCATCAGGAATGGGGCTCAGGGGCCCCACGTGCCAACCCTGCCACTGAGAGAATATACCTGAGGACCAGGACAGAAAATATGGAACCCCTCTCTCCATCCCCCCCACCCTGGTCTCAGGCAGACAGGGCTCACTCCCCTCTCCCCCCAGTGCTGACCCTGTGCCCTGGGTCTGACGCAGACTCAGCCCCGCACAGCCTTGGGGAGAAGTCCGCCCAGGGGCCACAGGAAGGCTCCCGGCCCGGGTTCTGTTTGTTCTTCTTGGTGAAGTTCAGAAAGCCTGTGACACAGATGGACACAGGAGGTGGCCCCATTGTCCCCTAAGCAATGCCAAGCATGGAACAGCAGGTCCTGGGGTGAGGAACAGGCAGGCTCTGGAGGGCTCTCTTTGGGGTTCCCCAGAAAGCGGTGCTCTACTGGGACCTGTCCACTGTTCCTTCCAGGCTCGTCCCAGGCTCTGCCCCCAGCTGAAGCATGAACGGCCTCGAGGCCGCTTCCCCAGGTCTGATGGCCAACCTTTCCCCGGCGGCTGCAGATCAGTGTGGCCAGGAGACGTGGCTGGAGAACGTCCTCTTTGCCTCCTTCTACCTCCTGAACTTCCTCCTGGCTTTCGTCGGCAATGCCCTGGCCCTGTGGCTTTTCATCCGGGACCACAGGTCAGGCACCCCGGCCAATGTGTTCCTGATGCACCTGGCGATGGCCGACCTGTCCTCCGTGCTGGTCCTGCCCACACGCCTCGTCTACCACTTCTCGGGGAGCCACTGGCCTTTTGGGGAAATCCCGTGCCGCCTCACGGGCTTCCTCTTTTACCTCAACATGTACGCCAGCATCTACTTCCTCACCTGCATCAGCGCCGACCGCTTCCTGGCTGTCGTGTACCCCGTCAAGTCCCTCAGGCTCCGCAGGCCCCTCTACGCACACCTGGCCTGCGCCTTCCTCTGGGTGGTGGTGGCCGTGGCCATGGCCCCACTGCTGGTGAGCCCACAAACCGTGCAGACCAACCACACGGTCATCTGCCTACAGCTGTACCGGGAGAAGGCCTCCCCGCATGCGCCGGTGTCCCTGGCTGTGGCCTTCACCTTCCCGTTTGTCACCACAGTTACCTGCTACCTGCTGATCATCCACAGCCTGCGGCGAGGCCCCCGCATGGAGCAGCGCCTCAAGAGCAAAGCGGTCCGCACCATCGCCCTGGTGCTCACCATCTTCCTGGTCTGCTTCGTGCCCTACCACGCCCACCGCTTCTTCTACCTGCTGCGCTCCCGGGGCCCGGCCTCCTGCGCGGCCCGGCGCGCCCTGGCGCTGGGGAACCGCGTCACCTCCTGCCTCACCAGCCTCAACGGGGCGCTCGATCCCATCATGTACTTTTTTGTGGCCGAGAAGTTCCGCAACACCCTGTGCGGCCTGCTCCGCTGCAAACAGCTCTCAGGCCCGCCGCCCAGCCTCGAGGGGAAAACCAATGACAGCTCGCTGAGCGCCAGGTCAGAGCTGTGAGCCCGACCCGCCTCTGCACTCTCAGGACAGCTCCCCCAGGGTGCTGAGGCTTCTCCCAGGCTCACGGAGAAGCCCACCTCTGCCCAGCCGCGCACTGAGAAAAGCAAGGAATCTCAGCCGGTCACCGCCGCTCCCTCCCAGGTCAGAGGTCAGAGCTCCTCCTCTCGCCCAGCGCCCAGTCCCAGTTCTGTCTTACTCAACCTACAAATCCCTAAGAAGGGAGACCTGTCTGCAGACCTGTGCTGGCCCAGCTCACTCACCGCTACTAGATACTTAGCGACTTCACCCGCAGTGAGAGGGGCAGGGAGCGGAGAAGGAACTCCTGAACAAGGAGTCTCTTTCCTCCCTGAGGCTGCCTGTCAGCTCCAGCCTCCTCTCACTGAAGAACCACCTGGCACCAAGCTCTCCCCCCCCCCACCCAGAACCCAGAGAGGGGACGGGCTCTCCTGACGGTAGGAGGCGTGTCTAAATATTTCCTATCACATGCAAGGTACTTTGAGTTCCCTTGGGGCACCTTTGCCAGATGACCCGAGTTTAGGAGACACAAACTATAAATTATAGTTGAACACTGTAAGTACATTTCAGGCCAGTCGCCAGGCGACATCCAGCAGACACAGCCTGTGGGGCACATCACTTCTTGATCCCTCCTGTATAAACCCATAGAGGCCTGCCTGTGGCCTGACAATCCCCAGAGCTTCTCAGCAGCTGCCCGTCGGAATCCTGGTCGCACACAGTACGAGCGGACAGCCCGGCTGTGTCACTGCCTGAGAACACTGTGGGCAGGGAACCAGGTCCTGGCATGCGATCCCCCTCAGACCCGCAGGGGTATCCGCAGCCCTGCTTGCTCTCAAGAGGCCTCTCCAGCCTGGACTGGCCAAGCACTGAGCTGTTCACTCCGTAATGTGACAGGTGTTGCCCTAGCAGTTCCTTTTTTGTACTTTATTATGCTGATTATAAACATAACTGTACTTGAAGACTCCGAAGGTGATTGTGTTTGGTTAACATAACACTCTTCCCAGAACGTCTCCCTTCAATCCAAGAACGGCAAAGTGGAGGCGAAGGCAGCAGAGTTGGGCAGCCCGAGCTCTTGACTGAGTTTCACATCCCACAGCAGGCCCACTCCACACAGGCCCCAGGGTTCAAGCAGGGCCCTGCCCCCATTCGGTACAGCAAAGCTGCTTTACTTCTGTGTCCAGTCGTAAATTTCCTGAGCACTTCTAGCCTATTCTGAATTTTCCCAACCACGCAATGGGACTGGTGCAGTATGAGCTGCGGCTATAGACAGGGACAGGACTTGGTCCGGCATATACCTGGCAGGGGACCCTGCCCACTGATCAGCACAGGACCCCCAAGGCACTGCCTCCCTCCCCCTCAGGCTCTCATTTGAACTCAGGCTCCTGCTGAGTGACACCCAAGTAGACACAGGGCAGCATGGGGCAGGCAAAGAGACGTCAGGAAGGAGCAAAGGGTGCTAGGTCAGAGAACAGAGATGGTAACAGGTGCCCAGATAGGAGAGGGTATAGGAATCGGCAGGTAGCTGGGTGTGGATCAGGCGGTAGGCGGTGTTTTTCCCAAGACTTGGTGGTCAGTGCAGGAGAAGCTGAGTCTGCTGGGACCCCCTGCACTGGGGACACCTGGTGGACACTCACCAGTGGAGATGTCACGTGGGCAGCTGAGTGTCCCACAGGAGAGGTCTGGGGTAGGGGTGTACATCTGAATTGTTCAACACAATTGGAGTGCAGGTGCACAGGGCTCCAGAGGTGCAGAGACATGGCCAGGCTGCAGGGAACACTGGTGCTGGGCAGCAAGGGTGCCCCCAGACCCTGTCCCCTTGGGGAGGTGGGAGGTCATCACCCTGGAGCAGGGGGTGGGGGGAGTGGAGACAGTGGTAGGAGGAGGGGTGAAGTGAAAAGGCAACACTTCTCCAAAGAAGTGCCTCTCAGGCTGTTAAGAGACCTAACCCTGAGCACCAATGAGACTGATGGCCCTGAAGTTAGGAATGGATTGGGGACGCCTGGTGGAGTGCTTTATCTCCAGGAGCATCCAGCCAGGGGTACAGGTGGAAGCAGACGGCTCGTGTCAGGAGGCGTGACCTGACTCAAAGCTCCTTATCCATCCTCTGAGCCTAATGGCTCCCACTCTGGCCACCTCCCTCCCTGCCCATCTCACCTGGGCAGGCCCATCTCACCTGCCAGCATTCCTCACGAAGCCCAGGTCAGCCAGCTCCACATCACACAGTTCACAGCAGAAGCACCCTGGGTGCCAGTTGTTGTTCATGGCCTTGATGACGCGGCCAATGATGAACTCGCCTAAAAGAGAGAGGTCCCGGCTTGCCAGGGCAGGGCACAGCCCCTCGCCCTCCTCAGCCCTGCCCCAAGCCCTGTCGGCACTGGCCTCTTCCTGGTCTTAGGGCCCCACCCCCAGAGCTTGGGAAGGTGATGCCTGCAGGGGTGCCAAGGCTGGTGCTCAGAGAGACAGGGCCTGGGCAGTCGGGGGAGCATGGGACCCTGCTGCCTGCCCCTGGGCCCCACAGAGGCACACGCCGTCGCCAGCCCTTACCACAGGATCCGCAGCATGGAGCAAACAGCATTTGAAAGTCATGTTCGCAGTACTTCCGGCCTTCAAACTACAAATAGAGCCAGCAGAGAAAGGACAAGCTACTACCCATCATTCTCTGCGCCGCACTGGCCAGCTCTGTCCACTGGCCAGCTCTGTCCGATCAGGACCTGCCCTTAGGCTAGATAAGCACCCAACCCTCCCCTCAGACAGGGCTTCCGAAAGGAAGTGACAACCAGCTGAAAGACGGTAGGGACCGGGGTACCAGAGGAGGGCAGGCAGAGAGAGGGAGCAGCAGGTACAAGGCCTAGAGACAGGACTGAAAGTGAGGGCCTCATTTAAGCAGGGGGCTCAGCACGGCCAGCCCTCAGGGCTCTGCTGTTTGCTGAAGATGCTGGCTCTGTCAGTCCTGGGAATCTGCTGAGGGCTGGGGGTGGGAGCGTAGGCTGGGAGGGCTCTAGTCAAGTTTGAATTGTAGGGGTCACTTTGCCCCATTCCCTGTGTTTTCTCTGTGTGAGAAGTCCATTCCCCCGGAGGACACGAAAGACCCAGAAAGGGAAACGGGGGGGGGGGG